ATCACATGCTATAAGTGCACCTTTTGTGGCAAAATGTTTGCAGCCATGGAAGTGGTACTCACGCACTACCAGTCCAACCACAGGTGTTCCGTCATTCCTCTGCTTACTTGTAAAGGTTTGGACACTTCTTTGTCTTCATTACTGTCTCTGTTTTCATACAATTCTTGTGATTCCTAAAGGAATGCCAACTTTTGGACCCAAAATATCTTCGCCTAAACTAAAGGCCCCGAAACACAACTCTCTGAACGGTTCCCAAACCCGTGAGTCGATTGGCACGAAAGGCAAGAAGAAGAAAATTGTCACCAAAAGTGCTGTTCCTTTGAAACCAAAAGACGATCTGAAGAGCGATTCGAAGAATATTAAATCCAATGAAAGAACCGAAAGTGCGGCCAATAATAGGACTCGACTTTTGAGAGATAGCACTAAAAACGTCAAACAATTAGACAATAAATCCAATGAAAGTTCTTATAAAAGACAATTCAGATGTTATTTCCCTGGTTTGCACTCATTTAACAATACTTTTTACCAGAATTAATGTTTTGCTTGAAAAGTTACCTTTCCAACAAGGGTCTCTAAGTCGTCATTTAGCCCACATCTCCACGTATTCTTCAGTGTGTTCTTCAACTTCAGTATATTCACACTCACCTTACTGACACTCAAGTTCACGAGCCTATTGGCAGGTCTTGAGTTCCATAAGAAGACCCATTCGGGTGACAACCCATACATGTGTTCGTGGCCCGGATGTCACCAATCATTTGCCGATTCCGCTGCCAAAGAGCAACACATGTTGAGCCAACACATCGGAGACCGTATCCTTGAATGCGATTATCCTCAATGTGGGGCTAAATTCAAACTGTCCACTGATAGGGATAAACACAAGTACAAGCCATTGATTATCATTAATGTCTNTTGCCGATTCCGCTGCCAAAGAGCAACACATGTTGAGCCAACACATCGGAGACCGTATCCTTGAATGCGATTATCCTCAATGTGGGGCTAAATTCAAACTGTCCACTGATAGGGATAAACACAAGTACAAGCCATTGATTATCATTAATGTCTTACCATTAAAATTGTTTACTGCCTGCAGATTAACCCATACGGGAAAGAGGATCTCAGCGCCAAGTAAACTCACAAATGGTGTTCCAGTGAGGGGTCGGGGTCGGGGTCGGCCCCCAACCAAAAAGAAGTTTTACATTGAAATCAGTTCTTCGAGTGAATCATCCGTTGAAAGCGAAGATGACGACGAAGAAGAAGCAGAAGAATTGGTTTCAAATGAGAAATGTGTTGATAAGGAGGCAGAGAGCGACCCGAAAGGTGAACAACCATTAGATTTGTCGAAATCGGGCTCTAATTCGAAGAGAGATACAAACAAAGTGTCAGAAAAGAAGACAAAAACTCCGGCAAAAAGAGGCCGAAAGCGCAAAGAAATGGTGGTCTCCGAGACTGTCATATCGAAGCGTGTCTTCAGATGCGATTATCCCGGGTGTCGAAAGACATTCACTGAATCGGATGATCTTAAGGAGCACGAGGGGGAGACCCACAACACTCCCTCGGCTGATGGCCGGTCACGATATGGACGCCAATGCAAAGGAAATCTTTATTATAAAGTCTAAACATTTAATGATATTTATTGATGTTTAAAAATATTATGTATTCATAGTTTTATTATTAATTTATTTGTTATTAATTTAATTTAATTAATTTCATTGCACTTCGCTTTACAAGGTGTTATAATAAAATATAACTGTTTATTAACCCGGTATTAAACTTGTGATAAATTTTTTCATAATTAAATAGTGAGAGAGAGAGAGATTTGGATATTTAAATTTTTATTGGATATTTTATTGGATAATTTTTAGTGAATATTTTAGTAGCAAAACCTAAAAATACATTTGAGATTATTTTTATTTTAAGGGTAAATAGATTTTGTTAAAAACATTTTATTTACTAAAAATAGCAAATATTAAAATATATTAAGAAGAAATGATAAAATATTTAAAAATCTAAAATGTTTTGGAAATAACTTTAAGTTTTCTTTCATCAATATACTTTTGAGCTAATTTCTTGCGATCATATGCCTGTCCTATGGTTGCCATTAGATCTATGAAGAATGTGGTGATGTTTAGCTTCCAACCCATTTCACTGGTCGAGTAGTCAAATGGGAACTCGTGGTGATAGTTATGAAAACCTAAAATAAAATAAATAAAATTAAAAGTAATCTAAAAATAGACTAAAAATAGTCATTCCGGGCATACCTTCTCCGAAAGCTCCGAATGAGACGAATAGGTTCTCTCGCGCCTCTATTCGCGGGTTATATCTGATAATTAAATGCAAATAATTATTGCTTTCATTAATAATGTTCGCCAATATTGACAACACTCACGGTTTACTCCCAAACATATGGGCCGCAGAATTGACAAACCAAGTGCTAAATACAAAATGCAAAAGTATAATTTATTAGACAATTAAATTTAAACTTGTGAACAATTTAAAGTACCAGTGCAATGAAGTACAGTATCTAAGTAGGGCCACAAATGCCGCATTTGACACACACTCGGACCATAGGGTGACGGGAATAAGAATCGGTAAAACGACAACAAATGTTAAGTAAAACAAAACGTAGAATCTGTTAACATATGGACCTAAATGTGAAAAGTGTTTCAAATGCTATAAAATATACTTCTTCTGAAATTTAACGACTGGATCGTTGAGCAGATCAGAGCAGTCGAGTTGTTTGCCTTTCGTGATAACGTCGGGATGTTTTCGGGTCAGAAGCCAACCGACGTGTGCGAAGAAGAAGCCTCTGTTGGCGTTATGGGGATCGGCATCTGTTTCCGCGTATTTATGGTGTACTCTATGGTCGCGACACCATTCGTACAGATCATTCTTCGAGATATCAATGTTAGCAATGCTTTTAATATTTTCATTTCGGGTCAAAAATAGATTAAATATTAAATACCTGTCCCGCAATTGATTGAGAAATCATCAAGAATATTCTTAATGGAAGTCTCGCCTTATATGAACGGTGTGCCCATAGTCTGTGCGCTCCCGCAGTCACTCCCAGACCTAATATTTTTAATTATTTCTAATTAAAACAATATTTCTTCATTTCAAGACAAATATTCAAACCTCCGGCTAAACCATACCAAAACGCTAAAGGATTATAGAAAATTAACAACAATTAGTGTTTCATATCAAGTTCATAATCTCGAATAGTATAGAAATAAAAGTTTTATTCATTCTTACAATTTTAGCAAAAAAAAGTCCGTATGGGTACTCTCTTACCATTTTGTGTATTATTTTATATCAAATCGTATGCAGAAATTTAAATAAAATGTCACTTTCTTACCGAAAATCCAAGTAATCCAACACTTGTTTGCGAAACTATGATAAATACTATACAAATACAAGACATTGAGGACGAAGAATAGGAAGGCGTTTCTCCAGACAATAGTAGTTCCGCTCGTATTATAAATATAGCGAACATTTTGTTTATCGTATGTGTTAATAATAAAACTCATTTTCAAATCAAATAAAAATTTCTAACTCTATATATATTTAATGGACAAAATCTCTAATGAAGAATATTCTGTTAACTAACAAAATGTAATTTGATATAATATTAAACAGATTTATGGTTAACGGATATATGATATATGATATATGATAGACACTGACACACTGTCTGCAAATTATTTCAAATTGTATGACTGAATACAAAAAATAAATAAGTGTTAAATTTTAGGTAATTTTTAAATAGTTAGTCAATTACTATAACGATAGTAGTGTCAGGTATTAATAGACCAATAAGACTAACCGTTCATAAAGTAAAGCTCAGTTTCATAATCAACACTAAATATCCCCTCAAAAATAACTTACTATTTAAGTTCACACGTGTCTACACAACAGACGTGTAATTGATAATTGAAATGATTATTCAGTGATTTATCAGTGATTTATATAAGTGNAACATATGGACCTAAATGTGAAAAGTGTTTCAAATGCTATAAAATATACTTCTTCTGAAATTTAACGACTGGATCGTTGAGCAGATCAGAGCAGTCGAGTTGTTTGCCTTTCGTGATAACGTCGGGATGTTTTCGGGTCAGAAGCCAACCGACGTGTGCGAAGAAGAAGCCTCTGTTGGCGTTATGGGGATCGGCATCTGTTTCCGCGTATTTATGGTGTACTCTATGGTCGCGACACCATTCGTACAGATCATTCTTCGAGATATCAATGATATCAATGTTAGCAATGTTTTTAATATTTTCATTTCGGGTCAAAAATATAGATTAAATACCTGTCCGGCAATTGATTGAGAAATCATCAAGAATATTCTTAATGGAAGTCTCGCCTTATATGAACGGTGTGCCCATAGTCTGTGCGCTCCCGCAGTCACTCCCAGACCTAATATTTTTAATTATTTCTAATTAAAACAATATTTCTTCATTTCAAGACAAATATTCAAACCTCCGGCTAAACCATACCAAAACGCTAAAGGATTATAGAAAATTAACAACAATTAGTGTTTCATAGCAAGTTCATAATCTCGAATAGTATAGAAATAAAAGTTTTATTGATTCTTACAATTTTAGCAAAAAAAAGTCCGTATGGGTACTCTCTTACCATTTTGTGTATTATTTTATATCAATTTTTAAATCGTATGCAGAAATTTAAATAAAATGTCACTTTCTTACCGAAAATCCAAGTAATCCAACACTTGTTTGCGAAACTATGATAAATACTATACAAATACAAGACATTGAGGACGAAGAATAGGAAGGCGTTTCTCCAGACAATAGTAGTTCCGCTCGTATTATAAATATAGCGAACATTTTGTTTATCGTATGTGTTAATAATAAAACTCATTTTCAAATCAAATAGAAATTTCTAACTCTATATATATTTAATGGACAAAATCTCTCTAATGAAGAATATTCTGTTAACTAACAAAATGTAATTTGATATAATATTAAACAGATTTATGGTTAACGGATATATGATAGACACTGACACACTGTCTGCAAATTATTTCAAATTGTATGACTGAATACAAAAAATAAATAAGTGTTAAATTTTAGGTAATTTTTAAATAGTTAGTCAATTACTATAACGATAGTAGTGTCAGGTATTAATAGACCAATAAGACTAACCGTTCATAAAGTAAAGCTCAGTTTCATAATGAACACTAAATATCCCCTCAAAAATAACTTACTATTTAAGTTCACACGTGTCTACACAACAGACGTGTAATTGATAATTGAAATGATAATGCAGTGATTTATCAGTGATTTATATAAGTGAACTTGCACATTCAATTCTGGGAACAAATACGGAATTTATTCAAACTTTGAGAAACTTTGAGACACTTTGTTGAGTGACAGCAATACATGAGCACTGAATGCCATCTATTAATGAGTGAAACACTCATTCATTCAAATCGTATGAAAAGTGAATTGAGTTTTGAAAACAAAAAGCATTTGAAAATCGATTCAATCATTAAATTTGATTTTCATTGCAATTCATATAATTTGTGCCAAATTTGTGCTAAAAGTTGAACCAATCGTAAGGTTTGAGACGTTTTCGCCACAAACGAGAGGATGTCTTTCAATTTCGGCGGCAATTCCGGAGGGTTTTCGTTTGGATCCACTCCAGTGACCACTTCGACACCATCTCTCTTCGGCAATACCTCCCAAATGCCGACCTTTGGTCAGACGACTGCCCCCTCCTTCGGGTCCACACCTTTTGGCGCACAGACATCACAACCGCAGCCACTGTTTGGCGGACAACAGACGCCATCGCAGACGCCGTCCTTTGGATCCACTTCTTTCGGCTCCAACACAGGCTTCGGTGGTCTGAGTGCTCCGGCGTTTGGCGCCAATCCTACCACACAATCGGCCCCACAATCCGTCTTCGGCTCATTTGGTACTCATTGACCATCTCTTGTGGTGTTAATCATTAGTAATCATAACGTTTGCATCCATTAAAGGCTCGACTCAGCCATCAGTTCAGGCCTTTGGCTCAGGGTTTGGCGCACAGACGACACCCGCGACGGCCACCACTTCCAGTCTTTTCACGTTTCCGTCGGCACCACAACAACAGACGACTCCATCTCTATTTGGTGGACAGACAGCCGCCACCACTCAGAGCACTGGTATGTTTGGCTCACCTTTTGGCGCATCGGTAGTCAGCCCTCAGACATCGCAATCGACGGGTCTGTTCGGCGCCACCCCTCAGCCCCAACAACAGCCCACAAGTCAACCGACCCTCTCGTTTGGCACGAGTCCAGCGCTGGGATCAGCTTTTGGTCAGACGGCTGCGTTTGGGGCGACCTCTGCAGCTCCAGCGGCGCCTGCCTTTGGATCGACCGGAGGCTCTCTTTTCGGGGCAACAAATTTGCGTTAGTTTTGCATCAAATCCATTGAAATTATGGCCAAAAACTTAATTATGACATCTCTTTACAGCCACTTCTTCCTCTGCGCCTACTTTTGGCGGTTTTGGAACTCCTGGCGGAACCGCCGCCACTGGTTTTGGTGCTCCGGTAGCGCCCACCACTTCGGCGCCCGCTTTCAACTTTGGCGGAGGGATTCCCACAGCGACCACAACTACACCCACCCTCTCGTTCTCATTGAATCCTCCGACGCCGTCAACCCTATCAGCGGCCTCTTCGGTGCAGACATTCGGCACAACCAGTGGTTTTGGTTTGACTACTCCTATAGTGAGCTCATCGACGGCAGCACCGGTGCCTTCCTTTGGGTTCGGCGCCCCAACGGCTACCACTTCTGCGGCCGCGCCGTCCTTTTCATTCCCATCGGCGACGACCACAGCGTCTGTTCAACCGCTGTCTTCACTGACGGGACCGACCATTGCTTCCTCTTCCAGTGCAGTACCATCTGCTGCCCCGGCGTTCAACTTCTCGACATCCACTCCAACTCCTGCGCCCACTTTCACTCTCACCACTCCATCGACTACTCCTTCGGCCACCACTTCCGCACCTTCTTTTGGCCTCAATTTAGGCACTCCTTCGCAGACAACCAGTGCATCGATTGCCCCGTCATTTGCATTGACCACAACCTCCGCCGCAGCAGTTCCTCCAAAAACCACTGCATTCTCTATGCAGCCGTCGACAACGACTACTACGACAGTGCAACCCATAACTACAGCCACACCTAATCGTAATTTTGATTGATTTGATTTTATTCTCTAAATGTTGACAATTGTATTAATGGTAATCTATATTCAGGAGTGACTTTCCGTCAACTGGAAGACCAAATCAATATATGGCTCAACGAATTGAATCAATTAGAGGCCGAGTTTCACATCCAGGCGCAGACCATCAATTCGTGGGATTCACTGCTTATCAATAATGGACTCAAAATCACTCAAATCAACGAAACTCTTGAGAAACTAAGAACAGATCACACGAGACTTGACCATCAGTTGGACTTTATTATAGCGCAACAGAACGAGTTGGAACAGCTATTGTCACCAATTGAGTCCAACAAGTTTGAGATGAGCGCCAATAATGCGGT